ACACACACACACACACACACACACACACACACACACACACACACACACACACACACACACACACACACACACACACACACACACACACACACCAGAGAGACACAAAGCCAAGAGCCCTTAAAACATTCCAATGAAATAATGCACAAAATCCAATGATGACAATGACACCAGTGTAATCCTGTCAAAGAACACACTATTAAGGTAAACTTGTTTATAGTGATTTTAACACTCTAATCCCATTTGGGGTTCACAGTTGTGCTCCAATGCTGATGCATTCACAAATACATTTTGTTGCATAAAATTAATGTCAAAAAAGTTCTGTCACTTAGATTCTGCATCATAACTAAGCTTCTATAATTGTTCTTTTTTTTTTCAAAAATGATAACTCAAGAGTCAGACACATTTCAGGCACAAAACACAATAAAAGAAGGCAAATACTACAGAAAACCTGAAAAATACATCAGTCACAAACTTTCAGTTAGAGCTCAGAGAATGATTCTTGGTTTTTTTTCCGATTATAATACAGAAATAGCTTTTCATTGTTATCATTATTATTATTGCACAGAAAAGAAGCTTCAAAGAGCTTCAATGGCCGGCCTAGTTTACTGCATTATGTCTTTTACTCACTGTCCACACACCTCATTTTTACACTGCATTTAAACGTCATGTTGCTTTTCTCAGAATTCAATTTTAACAAATGGTATTTACTCAAGCTGCCATGTCACTGTTGTTTTGAATGTAGATTTCTTCAATATTACTTTTCCTAGTAACTCCTTTACACTGATAACCAGCAGAAATGTGATCAGCACATACGGGTAAGTCAGTGCTTCTCAAATTGGGGTACAGGGAACACTGACAAAAATTAAACTCACGAGTCACTTTTTGTTTTTTTTACGAGTTGCTACAGCAGTGAAAAAGTTGGTAACTATGTCAACCAAATCGCTAAGAACACTGATTGTGCTTTTGTAAACGAGGGAATCCCCGACTTAAATAATGGTTGTGCGTTTTAGAAATTCAAGTTCTCTGCAGTTTTATGCTGCTGATCAGCGGATGTCACATTTCAATTTAAAAAAAAAAAAAAAACGCTGAAAAAGATTTTCTATTCAATAACACTGACAACCTGACTAAAGTTTCGGGCGCACAGATTTTTTTTAGTTGGGAATGGGAATCATTCAACTGGAAAAGACAGAAAGATGTGAAGAGTGCATGTTGAATTTACACTTAAAGGAAGAATTTAATAAATAAAATGAATAAATATGTTTGGTTTAAAATTTGAGAAAACAGCCTACATGATGTTGTAAATGTATAGTTGATTAAAATAAGGGCTGAGCGATTTTTGGAAAATAATCAAATTTATTTTTTTCACGCAATAGTGCTAGAGTGATTTAATATGCATTTAAGTTTTTTAAGGTCCTCTTCTCATGTATTTTAAATTATAAACAAATGTACTATTTGGGGAAATGTATCGACTTCATATTGCAGAACTTTACCCATGAGTTTTCTTTTCTTTTTCTATCCTGTATTTTTTGCTCATGAGAATTTCATGACAATGTTTAGTTAGCCAAATCACTCAATGATATGCAATTGTCCTTGAAATTGGTGTTATTATTTTTTACAATACACTCCACACAAATGTTGTTATTTACTTTGTTTTGTTCCTGCTTGCATTTTGAGTGTGTTGGGCAAGGTTGGTGTGGGTGCATTTCATGAATTCATGAGTGTGGTTGATATGTTAAACAGTTTCTTGTCGGCCATTTTCAATGTATGTAAAGGTAAATGGCAACCTCTGTTGGTGTGTGCTAAGCACTGTTGCTATTCCAGTATGGGTTATGGACTCAACCAACTAATTGAAATATATCTGATCTTGCTGCTGGAATACATATGTATGTTTTTCATTTTCAATTACAATTTGTTACAGTATTTTGTCACTGATATGTTACCGATTGCAAAAAGAACTCAATTTTTGGGCAAGTACCAGTAGAATGATGCAACTATTCCTTCAACTAAAATGTTATGATGTTCCCTAACTCACCCTGGTATCCATTTTGTGTCTGTCAGATCCTTCCTAAATTGTCCTTTACTTCAACGTGTACACCACACCACACCATCTGATGGGCACAGGACACGAAACACAAAAAGGGCTCAGACAAGGAGTTTTTGCCTTGCACAATGAATTTGGCACGTGATGACTGATTGCACCGATAATCCCACCCTAACGGAGTCATTTGAGAGCTTCATCCGTGCTCTTGAACATGAGGATGGCGTTGTAAATCTTGAGGGCGGGGCCGAGTTTGATGCTCATGATCTTCACGATGTCGGCCTGAGTCAGTAGTAGAAAGGCCTCGCCGTCAATCATCTGCCGTGGGATGGAGTTGAAGTGGGAATGGTGCACACAAACAAGCAGTCAACACAACTTAGGATATGAAATCTACCTACCAATAAGCAAGAGAGGTTTTTCAATCATGCCTGGGAGCAGGAATGTCAGTGAACTCCAATTGAAAGGCAAGTCAGTGCAATAAAAGACAGGCCGATTAGCTGCCTCACTCCTGCAGCCTCTCTTTTTTTTCTCCTCCTACCTCAAGGCATGTTATGTCTGAGAGGTTTTGTAGAGTTGCCAGATCAGGGGTAGGGAACTATAATAATAATAATCAGTTCATCAGCAAGCTGTGTGGAAGCCTGAAACAATCATGACCAATTGAATCATGTGTTTTGGAGTAGAGAGAGATCTAAAATAGGCAGGATATGGCTATCGAGGAACCGCAGTTCCCTACCCCTGTGCCAGAATGAGTGCAGATTTGTTTTTGTGCTGATGAGTGGTGTAATGTTCAGTTAATGTCACATTACAACTACTTATTACTTTATTAGTTAACACACAAAGGCCCAAATGCCCCAGTATGCCAAATTCATCCTGTGCAAAGTCAAGTAAAGTATAAAAAGAAATAAAACGCCACCCATGCACACAGTCAGAATGTGCCTTGCGCTAGACTTCTGCTGGGAATGAAAATAGGATCCAAGGTCAGAAGCTTAAGTAGTAAACTGCAGTGTGACCTATGGGACATTCTGATTTAGAGGTTCCACTGTAATGTTGTTCAGGCAGACAGATGTGGGCATCATACCTCGTCTTTAAAGAGACGGGCCTGGTCCTCGCAGCCAATTAGATTATGCACAAAGTTGAAGACCTGGAGTAGATGACACAAAAAAAGATCACATTAGTTCCTCGAAATAGTCAAAGTAATATTCAAGACAAGAAATTAAAAATCATTAACTCACCTCCTCCACACTCCAAGCCGCCACCTGACTTGCGGGAATGCCCAGTACGCCAGGTAGCAATTTACAGTGTTGTTCCCAGCACAGAGACAGAGTACGGTCTGACTGACCGCTCAGAGCCGACACAAACAACGATGGATAGACACACTCAGATGTAATGTCTGATGATCAAAACACAAACCAGATTATGTTCTTTGATTATATGATCCATATATATCAAGTGCTGTACCCAATTCATAACATTCCGCAATACCCTGTGATATATTGTAGCATTTTACTCCAAAATTTTATCTTATTGTCTATTTAATTTATGACTTGTTACTAGACTGAAACAACTAAAACTAAGGAATACAAGCACTAAAATTAAAATGCAGCAGAGTAGAAAATGTAGGAAACAAAATAATACCAAAGAAGTACAATTAAATACAATGAACAAATTTATTATGGAATGAAGCATAAAAAATTAACCAGACGCAAGACTTTTGTTCATACAAACTACTATATAAAAATTATAAACTTTAAACTTACTCTGATAGTCTCTCTGCTGGTTCTTCCTATATTTGGGTGGACGTCCAATCCTGGGAAAAAAGGTCAAGAAAAATAAAATAAAAGTAAAGGTTCATGCAAACTCACACCCACACACCCACACACCTTTACCTGCCACGATAATGTGTCTTCTTGGTTCTCTGGCCAAAAAAGAGACTCCTCTTGCTCTCAGAGTCTGATAGCTCCACCTTGAGTCTGCCTTGGTTGCGCTCAGCTAATGGGCAGCCCGAAACACAGTGATGTGCCGTGAAGCGACCAGTCACGTGACCTGAACCGTCACAACCCGGGGTTGGACACTTCCTGTTTCAAAGGATAGTGTCCGTTTAGTGAAATGTGCTGCTTTTGACATAAGAACCTGCACATTATGAAAACCAGCATCTTTAAAATGAATCAAGAGAATGAGTTCACCTGTTGTGAAAGTTGTACTTGTTGGTTCTTGTGTGGCTGATGGGCTTGCAGGGAACAGAAGGAGGGTAAGTTGACTGGGGCAGAGTGGGAGGCTCCCTCACACCTAAGTGAAGAGATATGATAAACAGACATACACAACAACCCTGATGATTTTTTTAAACATTTTTGGTCTTGTCTTTTAAACATCATGACACAAGTGTATGCTGTTATCATTTTTTCTGTAACATCAGATTGCTCAAATGTCACAACTATTCTACTCACAACCACTCGAGGGCATATTGAATGGCATCTGGGGATTGATTGCCTTGATATGCTGAGATGTATTAACCAGCACTATGGTGTAGTCACTTAATTCACTTCTTCCAACATTTACATTTTACCATGTGTCTGCTGTGGTTTGGCGTCCTGTGGTGGGGGTTTGAGCGGGTGACCGGTGGCCTCACACCAGCCTGCTGGGTGGATGTCAGGGTGATCCGAGTCCATCCACTCGTCATAGATGTGACTCCATCCATCATAGTGAATCTGATGGAAAAACAAAAAAATGCGGCTCCTATAACAAAGCTCACACACACACACACACACACACACACACACACACACACACACACACACACACACACACACACACACACACACACACACAAACAAAATACCTTGATACGGTGAGTCTCGACTTCCTCCACCGTTGCCACTCTGATGAGACCAGGACTCCTTTTGTCGACCGCCTCCAGTTTCATCTGAGGCTGGAAGCGATGGGCTGAGCGCTTCATGTTTACAGGAAGATAACTCTGTTGAGTATCTGCTTTAATCTCACCAGTTGTATCTAATTACACTAGGACATGAAAAAACTCCAAGGCATCTGACTTTTCTGCTAGCTCAATACAGTAGCTGTATACACATGGACAAAATTGTTAGAATCTCTCTGTTAATGAAAGACAAACCCACAGCAGTCACAGTTCAACAACAACAAAAAAATACATACCATACTTTCTGTACTGTAAGACAAGTCTTTTTTCCCCACGCTTTGAATCCTGCAGCTTTAAATGTAATGCAGTTTACTTACATATTTTTACTGACGAACGTGATGCCACCAATAGATTATTGTCATTGTTTGTCACAGTGCAAAAATGAAAATGTCTGAGTCAACCCTCATAATGAATATTCATATCAGTCATTTGCGTAGTTCAGTAGGAGGCTTGGATGACGAAATTGTGGACCGAAACTGGCTGCATACCAAGAGCGAAGCTCAAGAGAAACACTTCATATTTGTAAGATTTGCCAGTGCATGCCGAGAGGGTGGGGCAGTGTCAAAAATTCCACTCTTACCAATCGTTTTTGAAAGGGTGCACTGCTACATGATGAATAGGACGGTTTTGGCTCATAGTCAAATTTGTCTCTTGTTGTAAGTGACACTGACGGTGACCGCGAAGAGAAGTGTATGAAGGAGTTTTGAGGCTGTTGCTTTCTAACACTGACGAAGGGCTTTGGTGGGTTTAGTGTGCAGGAGGAGGAAGATAAAGATAGGGATCAATGACTTTTCTGGGAGGCTACTGTACAACTAGCCGTGTCTGACATTCTCTGGAAAAAAGTGCAAATTGATTTTTAAGGTACCGTAATTAAAAGTTGTTTTTGTTTCAAAATTACAAACTACACTGTTATGACAACAAACTAGTACCTGTGCTTCAATCTGTTACATATAATAATAATAATAAATCCATCCGTCCTTCCATTTTCTTGAGCAATTGTTTTTTTAACGGTTCCAGGTAATTTTATGTGACAGGCAGGGTATAGTCTGGACTGGTTGGCAGTCATTCATCAGACAATATTAATCGAACAAAACAAAAATAAATAAGTGGATAAAACAAGAGGGGCAGGCAAAATAAATTTCCTACATGCAATCTTGAACGAGAGTTTTGAGGGAGTCACATTCTCACCGTTTTAAATGAGTCAGCTGCAACTGCCTTAGAACAAGTCTCATGCAGGTAGTGGGACCAGGAAAATGCTCCCTGGTCAGGATAATCTGGAGCAAAACAAATACACATTCCCATTCCCAATGATATCACATTAAAAAAAAAACAAACAAAGAACTCTTCAATGCTGTGTGAGTGTCTGTGCCTACTTTAAGTGCACAGCTAACCAAGACGAGTGTAGTGTTAATGTGCTATTTTAAATAGTAAAGTGTATGTTGATGCCTGCATATGGTATCTTCCATACACCGCATGCCATGTTAAGAGCTCAGAAAACGACAACACAGAAAAGATGCATTGAGGGAAGGCATGACCGATGGAACGGGAATTCAATATTTACAGGTAAAAAAAAAAAAAAAAAAACGTAAGAATTGAAATAATGATGTTCTCACCTTGGGGTGGTGTTAAGGGCAGATTTCTCTCCTGACACCAACCAATAGGATGGATGTATGGACTGGTGGCATCACACCTGCAGATATAACATCATATTTGACAACCAGTAGGACAAAACTCACACTTAAAGGCAAACCTTGTGGAAGCACACAGAATATTGTTACGTTGGCACACTATCTGGATTTTTGAGGCTCACCAGTAGTCGTACGTGTCGTCCCAATTGTCAAAGTGCACCAGGAAGCGGTCGTCCACCATGTCGGTGATGGTTGCTACGCAGATTAGGGATGGGTTCATGCGATCGACGGCCTCAAGTTTCATCCCTATCTCGAAGTCACACTTGGTGTCAATCTATGAAACAGCAGGCATGAAAGAGTATAACCAGTAAGCAGAAGAAACAAAACAACTTCTAAATGTCTTTTCCAATTAATAAACAGCTGTGGACAAACTGCTACTAGGGATGTCC